CTGTCGGCAAGCAGGGATGTCCAGCACCATCAACCTCTCGGGCCAAGGCATTTTCGACGCGAAATTTTGTTTCCAAGAGTGTACATGTATTGTATGTGAATTTCTGATAGTGAGCTGTTGATACTGACACTTGATGAACGTGATTTTTACGAAGGATGATGTCATTATAAATATCAGTATTCAATGAAAATGTTCCCACCGTGATGTCTTATTTATACGTGGAAGAATACGAAAAAGGTGGGCAAAAGTGAAGGTCAAACTTCCACAGACAGGACAGGAATAAACAACAGACATTCTCCATCAGATTTTAAATTTTCCCTACCTTAGTCTGCATTTTAAGTAGTATGCATTTCTGGCTTAAACATGCACAAATCTTACTAAGGGTTATTGTAAATAGGACGAAAAATAAAAATATCAGTTTTTATCAATAAAATAATTCAACCTTAAGCATGCAATTAACAATTATTTAACTCTTTAATACCTCTAGTCACCATAGAAGCGATGCAAGTGCAAGAAACTAGGTTACAAATAATAGCGCCCTGTTTGATCACATACTAATTTGTAAAAGACTGTGATATAGCAGCTTGCCAACATTCCAAAATACTAATCAAGTATCATCCTCACTAGAAATGACGAAATGTATCCAGATTTTTTTTACGTAATTCCTAACATAAAAACTACTGTACAATTACATTTGCCGATAAGCACAGGAAGTAACGTTTAGAAACTTGGCGTTTAAAAATTAAGCTAAATTGAAGGAACTGGACACCCTCAGCGGGGAGGGACAGGCCGTGGCGGCGAACGGACATGGCACAGGAGCGGGCAAGGAGGGGAAGCCAACAACGATGCGTAACAACTGCGTCTACAGTGACAGTTGAAGGTTTCTCGAAAGATGGCCTGGGTGTATATACGCATGGAATGCAATTAACGTTAGTTTCAAGCTGCGAGTATTTTAGCCATTAATAGAATTATCAGTTCAGACTCACTGAAGTGCAAGTAGTGCAGGGCTGAAGTTTTATTTTTATTCGTTTGTAACCGTATGACCGAAGATGAAACAAACCTTGCATTATTGCGTACCAATAGTTGTAGTTAGAAATCAAGGTGTAATAATATGGGACATTGTGATCAATGAATGTTTATTTGTAAAGAAGCAATTTCCTCACTTGTTCTTGCAAATAAATGAGCGAGAAGCAGACTTTGTAAAATTAACTAATGTAATTACTTGGAACGTCACCCTGGCGAGCCTGTCTGCGAGGGCGTCGGCACAAAAATACGAGTAACGAACAAGAACATAACGTATCATGAAACGTTCAAATATTACGTTCAATATTAGACGATTATTCACTAGACATGAAATATTACACAGCACACGATTGAAACAACACAGTATGACTGGTACCAAACCTACCCCGCACTTCAATTGACAAACATTAACCAAGAGCAATCATGTCGCACTACCACTGAGTCGAGAAACGATGAGAAGTTGTTCATCGCCGTGTTCGTGATCAATTCGTTTCAAAGTTTCTTTGCTCTGTTTTCATTAAAAATGAAGAAATTAAATAAGATTCCTCAGTTTGTCTTGCCTGCATTTGCACAACTTATAGGAAATAAGATATGAATGCACAGTACGAACATTTCCAACCGTGTTTGAATTTAATAACATAATTACACGATAAGCATTGGCACAAGATTTAACATAGGCACTGATAATGGTTTCATTATCGTAATTGCATAATACGTACATTATGTTAACTCATGTAAAATTATTTAATTTGTTTTAGGATAATATCTTGCTTGTATGTAATTATCAGCTTAAACAGTCGTAATTTAAATATTAATTTCTCATTCTTGAAATTATGAAGGATTACGTCTTTGAGACCCGTTGATTTATGTGGGGCAGCTACATAATATACGTTCCGATCTAAAATATTGGGTTAACAATTTAATATTCTTTTCACATTGAGACGCATCCTCGATGAAAACCTAAAGTCTTCAAATATCAGCATGTTCTCAACAAGAAACCGGCTTCAATATCCCAATATATTGCAGTACCGTTGTGCTGAATTTCTAATACAATATGTTCTCTTTAATTTGAACAAGTACCGAGACTAACATGGTGAAAAAGCGGCAAGTATTCAGAGTACACAAATTATTTACTGATTAGAAGTATATAAAATTAAAAATATTTGAAGTGTATTGTAATTATGATCGTTATAATTAAACTGTTGGGTGTGCATATGCTTGAGTACTCTTGTACTCGTACCAGCAAGTCAGCGAGCACATTTGTAGACAATAGTCACAGGCTGACTGCCTACAGTAAGGTCGAAACTGTAATCGTCAAAGGGTGCTTAACTATTCTTCACTGCCTGTCGCCTAACCAGGTGTGAACTATAACAATAAGGCTGTACTGGCGTAAGCCAAGTTCTGAAATTCCTCAATGTGGAGTAAGTTCGCCTGCAGTGAAAGGCAGTAAAAGCCCACCATGTGTGGAGGATCGCCGTGAATTCGCCGTTGCCGGAATAAGTTTAGCCTCTATTTTGGGCTCTCCAGAGGCGGGCGAACCGCATGACTGACGGTTTCGCACATTACGTGTGATTTCGTCGCTAATGACGAAAACTGTTTCATGGCTAGAGGAGAAATTTTCAACTTGGCTTACGTCAGTCCAGACTTAGTGCTGTATACAAACCTTGTGCAGATACCATCACTATCCGAATCACGTTCTGATGAAACCCAATTCACATTATAAGATGTAAAAACAAATATCCATTTCGTGTGTTCCTCACATTGTTCTCTGATATGGAATAAACAGAGGCGCCTAAAAGATTTCAACTCTTATTTGTTGTAAGTTAGTTATAATTTATATTTAAACCATCAATCATGTGACAAAGTTGTAAACACTACGTAACCTTCTTGAAATACAATATATTTTTTTAAACTTAAGTGGTGTAGTTCACACCTGTGTAGGTGACAGGCACTGACGGGCAGTAAAACAACACCCTTTTTAGGGATAGCGTTTGATCTTACAGTCATCAGGTAGGCAATCAGCGTATGACGATATTGTCTTTAACATTGCATGATGTGGACTCAAACCTGAGGCACTGGATGCTCTCTGTGGGTTCTGTCCACCAGCAGCGTCGCGACGGTGTTGCGCCATGGGAGCGACTTCCGGCGAGAGCAGTACATGGCCGGAAAGCAATTCGTGACTCTAATACATTTATAATTCAGAGATCACTTTGACATAACATGAGACGGTCCCAATGAAGGTCTCCGATGTGTATCGTTCAATTTTACGGAAATTGCCATTATTAAAATTTTTAAACCGAGATGTAGTGAACGAAAAATAGAAGTTAAAAGAATCAACGAAAGGAAATCTGCAACACAGGAAAGTGTAGTTTTTGATGGGATATTCACTCCAAAAGAGTTTAAAAATATTTTCTTCCTCGAAATCATAAATACTATGAGATTTTATTATTTTAATATTATCAATTTCCCTAGTCTTAGTCAATGCCAGCACATGCACTTCACCAAGAGCACAGCGATTTCAAAAATATCTATGACACAAGACACTACGGCTAAGAATTTCTTTCTAGAAATTGGACATTTCCTCCAAAAGAAGGTAGACCTTTCGGCTGATTTGTACGGTTTAATCATAAATCTGCCGAGAGCACTATAGGGTAAAATGTTATTTTACGCAGCTCCTGACTGGCCACGGATGCTTCAGAGCAGAGTCAGATGCTAATAATCTGAATTGTTGTGTGTGCGAACCAGCTGCAGAGGACGTCGAACGCGCGATTTTTCAGAGCCCACGTTTCGACCCCCAACGGCAATTAATCATCGAGATGCTTGGGATAAAACAGATGACTTCAGAAAAAGTACTTGCATATATGCTTGCTTCTGAAAGCAGTTGGAAGACGAAGTATGATTTTTCAGAAGTAGTACTACTGGAATTACGACCGGAGAAAGAAAGAAGGGAAATCTGAGCCCACCCTATAGCCGGGACAGAATAGATTCGACATGTGACAGTTACCCTTCCACTCCCCGCAATGCAGTGTCTATAGGTGGTTCCATGGGGAGGTTGGAAATAACATCCCCTCGTAAAAAAGTCTTTCTATCTATTAAAAGTATTGTGTTTTACCGAGAGCCTGGTAAATGCTGCAAATCTTGGTTCAATTACGGAAAAAAGAATGATGTTCCCACAGTTAAGCCATGCCCCTACTCAGGAATAGGTAAATGGTTAGAAGGTTTTGGGGAAAATATTAACTATTCATTCGGGCATGCATTTATAATTTTAATTCAACTCGTAACTTAACGACACACATGTACTCCTAAATTGTAAATGCGCTTTGTAAAATACGTCAGTAGAGGTTTTTGTGATATTTACTAAATAGAATCTGAATCCTATCGCACTAGAGTGATAAGACGATATCGGCGCGCGCGCACACACACACAAACGCGCGCGCGCACACACACAAACGCGCGCGCGCACACACACAAACGCGCGCGCGCA